CAGTATCGAATACTCCGTTTGTTGGTGAGGTGCCATGCCCCTTCTCCAATAAGGCCCATTTTTCTCCTTGAGTATGGGATTGATTTTGTAGGTCTCGATTCCAAGTTCCAGTCCTCTACCATAAATACTTCCAAAGATATCAGATCAGTATGAAAATTCCTTTTGTAAGGGAGATGCCACGCCCCCTTGTCTAATCGGGATTAATAGCCCAATTCTGAATCGGTGACAAACATTTTCACTCTTTCATATACATATTTTTACGTAAAAAAACTGTGACAAGAATTTTTCCCTTATCATGTTTATATGATGCTTCAATTCGTTCTAAGTCAAAGCATGTTATTTGGACACACACATCTACCATCGAATTGAAACTTTTAACTGTGCCACCATAAATCACGTTTTGAATGCAAGTTAAGAGTTGTTGAATCGAATGCGAGTTAAGAGTTGTTGAATCGGATAAAGAGTGCATATAAACACGCAATTTGTCCACACGGTTGTTTCATGCAAATCTGTATGAAGTAAAACATTTAAATAGTTCTTCAATTACATTTAGGCTAAGCTTTGTTAAAAAATTAATAGCTAATATGATTTTTTCATGGCTGTTTGAGTCTTTAATTATTATCCTTCCATGTTTATTATTTTCAAGAATTGACACACGTATTAACAGGGTTGCATCGGGATGAACTCTGGTTGAAAGCGTGTTCGCTCGACTCATTTCTTTTGTTGGATATAAACACTTGCATTTCAAGCGAGCTACATTGACACGAGTTAATTCGATACCGCGTTTGATGCTATATAAACAAGTTACCTGAAACAGAATAGAGTCGTAAACAGTGTTTCCACTTTGGTAAATTATTACCAGAATTGGTAGAAAAAATTTGGGTTGGTAAAAAGGTAAATTTTTTCTCATTTTGGTAGATTTTTGTTGAAGTTTGTTTGAAAAACAATCAAAATTTTAAGTTTCCGCTTTATTTTTTGTAGTTTTCGTAGTTATATTTACATTAACAATTTCTTTCCAAAAGTGTTTTAGTCTACTTTATTGGGTTAATTTTCGAACGTTTAATGCACACTTTTTTTCGTGGCATTTTAAAGTGCAGCTAAAAATGTTGTTTTTACAGTAATTTCTCAAGTATTATTTGGGAAATGCTGCGCGTAAGTGAAAAAAAAGTTATTACAATTATAATTCGAAGCAGCCTTAACTGATATATTTTTTCTTTAAGTATTCGAGAACAATAAACTATCATGGGTTTAGCGACTTTGAGTTTGCAATGATTGCGAGCACAAATATTATGGCAATGTCGCATTTTTTCGCAGGAGAGTTTCCATACAAAACTAATCAGCTGTGTCGCAAGGTGGCAAATTTTGCAACAAATGCGACATTTGCAACAATTTTGCGACTTTTCATGAATCCAACTAATATACTTTTATAATTCACAACTCAAACTCGCACACACATTCTCACTTTCAATATAAAACAACAAAAGTTCTGAATAATTCAATTCTAATTTTAAGTGATTTGGAGAGGTTTTTACCTCGTGATGTTTTTATCACGATAGTTTCTATGAAATACGATGTAAAAAAAATTTGCCGCACAGCGTTTCTCTCATTTCTCTTTTAAATTCCCTGTCAGCATTTTGTTTATTATTCTCTTGACTGTCATTGGCTGTCATTTCTGAAATTTCAAAAAAAAAATGCTTGCTTTGCGTCCAACATTATCATATATTGGCTAAACAGTTAGAACATATAAACCTTGCCTTATTCTAATTTGTGAACTTGTAAAAAAAATTGCGTGTCCTTTAAGTACGAGAGCCAAAGATGACTTCGACTTCACCACAAACAGCTCGCCGTCGGTCAAAGAAAAAGGCCTATGAAGGGTGACGAAGTGTCCTTATATTTAACCAGCCAAGTATCCTCCTTTAAGTCGAACCCATTAGAAGAATGGGTGGAGCTGAAAACTGCGTTTCCTTTATTGTATAAACAAACACGATCATATTTACATATAGTTGCAACATCTGTTCCTTGCGAATGATTGTTTTCGAAAGCAGGAGTAACAATAACCGCGTCAAGAAATCGGTTGACTGGCAAACATTTGCAAAAACTTCTATTCTTGGGAAGTACAACAAAAGAAGGCTTTTTCGCTGAAATATTTTATTAATAAATATTTTCTTTTGAGCTCCAGGCCGGTTATTAAATAAAACATAGATTTTGGTAGTTTTATTTATAACATTTATTGCTGTCGATATTTCGCCACCAAATGCATACATATTTACGTCAAATTACAAAAAAAACTTACATCATAAACGCAACTTACATTATTGAGTTTTTCCAATCGACTAATTCTATGTGCAGAAAAATATTAACAAACAAGCTCAAAGAACACTTAAGCTCGGAACACTTTGACGACTGCAACTTCACGACGTAACGACAGCGACATCATTTTGTCGACAAATGTCGCCTTGAAGCCAGCTTCTTAAACATTTTGAAGACCTCAGCGACATAGCAAACAGCTGATTTTAAATTTTGACATTTTGGTATATTTATTTCACAAATTGTGTATTTTTATTTAAGTAAATAAGAAAAACATGAACAATCAAGAATATGTGATTAATTTTGCGACAATTTAATTTTGCAGCACTACATCTACTCATTGCCGCCGGCAAAATTAGAAATAGATTTAATTTGGCGACGTCGACAATTGCAGTCCTGCAGCCAAGATGTCGTGCTGTCGTCAAAATAATTGTGTCCGTAAGAACGTGTGTATTTAAAATTTGACAAATGCTGCTTGTCGCTTGCTGTCGTCAAAGTGTTCCGAGCTTTAAACATAAACAAGAGAATTTAGGCAAGTCGAAATACCGTAAATGTAAACAAAAAATATACAAACAACAATACATGTAGTGGTGGACAGTAGGACGGAGAGAATCTGTATGTAGAAAAGCACGGCATAGCCAAGAATGATAGAATACAAGATTGCGCCGATTGCAGCAGAATTCGTGAGAGTAATTTTAGCGTGACGTCATCGTAGAGTTGACAACTGAGAGCGGCGAGACTGAGGGCGACTAGTGATGTGCTGAATTGTCCCCAATACTCGGTACCCAATACTTAAAAAAGATTTCGGTACCCTATACTTCCTTTTCGGTATCCGATACCGATTATTTACATTAAACCCTCGCCATTATATGCATTTCAGGTTTAGAAAAAACTTGCATTACTAATTTATATGATATCGGCTAAAACACTTGAACTTATCGCCACAGAAAAATATTATTTTATCAGTTTTAACCTTAGTCGATCCAAGGTTCAAGAAAAATGTTTTGACGGATGAGGAAGCTTTTCAGGGGGACATCTAACCAGTTAGCGAAAAGTTTCGGATCGATATTGTACTTGTTGGTGTAACAATATTTCATATCATAGGTCAACAAACCCGATACCGATTCGAAAATTGTCGCTAACTGGTTATAGAATCTGCCCCTTGGCCTCCAAAAATGATATCGTCCGATTCAGCTGGAACAAAAATGCTTCAAACAAGTGAGAGTTTCTCTGCGTTATGGCCTGGAACCGACATATATACATATTTCATTTGAATCAGTATTAAAAGCTCTATCGGCTCTATTGGCGAGTCTCCCCTGAGCCGTTTTTTTCCATATCTTTGGCCTGTGTGCGCTTTTATTTGAAATCTAAATGTTTTGGTACCGAGTATCGAGAGTATTGAATACATTTTAAATCGTTGCCGAATATCGATCAATACTTGAAAGTATTGACTGAGCACATCACTACTGCTGTCTTCTCTACTATGACGTCACCAAAACAGCTGATTCTGTCAAAATCACTGAGAGCCGAGTAGCGGTATCGTCATCGGCGCCACCTCTGTATTCTCTCCACCGTGCGGCATAGCATTGTTATTCAAGAATGATAGAATACAAGATTGCGCCGATCAGAGAGGATTTTTGAGAATAACTTTTGTGTGACGTCACACTTGTGCAATTGCGAGAGAGAAATGCCAAAACGTGAGCAAGAATGGAAGAAGAAGAAAAAATGTTGCAAGGAAAACGTAAACATGTTGCACCAGTGTGACGTCATGCAAACAACGATTCTGTCAAATTCGTTAAGAGAAGAATAGCGGTCCGAGATCGGCGCAACCTTTGTATTCTCTCAATCGTGATTGTTATTGTCGGACGAAGTACTGGTGGCGGACCGACGAACAATCACATGAACACATAAACACATGACACCTACGTTATTGGTTTTTGTGCGTGAGAATTAAATTGCGATAGACATGAGCGCAATTGTCTGTGTCCGTTTTAAAATTCATCCTTCTCTTATTAGGTGTGTTCATGATGTGTAGCATCTCTAGAGTATAACGTTTATTGTAATTTTTCTCTTCCTGTAAGATTGCTACATTGTCAAAATCGGGATAATGTCCCATATTTTGGCAGTGAGATGTTAAGGCTGTCTTATTGTCCATAGAGTTATTCCTTAATTTTATGTTAGATTTATGAGCGGAAATCCTTGTCTTCAATTTAGATTTGGTTGTCCCCACATATACCATATCGCATACGTGGGACCCGTCACCATTGCATGGTATTCTGTAGATTACGTCAGATTTATCATTTTTAGGAACTTTGTCTTTGGTGTTGGTGTATATTTGTTTTAAAGTATTATCATACGTGAACGCTATGTGAAATTTCTCTCTGTCAAACATTTTAGAGTGCTTAATCCTCTCTGATAATCCTGGAATATATGTTGCCGATGTATAAATTTTCTTCTCATTTGATTTATCTTTATTGGACTTGATATAGTAATCGCGGATGAGTTTGTTAATCAAGCCATGGGGAAATTCGTTTTTCTCCAGGATTTCTTTAATAATGTCAATATTTTTCTTGTGGTACATCTTATCACTTATGGTGAGTACTCTGCGGATGAAGTTGGTAGCCGTATTTATAATTGTCCTCCTCTCGTGGTTGGAATTAAAATTTATGAGCCTCCCTGATGCTGTAGGTTTCTTATACAAGTCCACTTTCTTTTCTGATTATTAGGGTGTCCAAGTATGGTAGTTGTCCTTCATTTTCTATTTCTATTGTGAATTTTAAAGTGTTAAAATTGTTTAAAGTGTTGAGCATCTTGTCTATGTTTTCCGTTTTTACAATCGCAAATAAATCATCCACATATTTGGTAAGTAGCCGTGGCTTGCTGTCCGAATCTTTTTCGAATTTATTTAAAAGTTCTTCCATAACTATATCCGCTATGACAGGTGAAGCAGGTGAACCCATAGGCATTCCTGGCTTCTGCTCATAAATCTTATCATTGTATTTGAAGTAGTGGTTCTCTTTAGTGCAGTAGTTTAATATGGTTAAGAAAAGCTCTCTAGTTAATGACGTATGCTTTTTTATCAAACTCCATTTCGAATCTATAATCTCTATTGCTAATTCTACGGGGATGCTCGGGAATAGCGATACGACATCAAAAGACACCAAACTTTCATCGTCATAAATATGGGTATTTCCAATCTTGTTTTTGAACTCGATCGCATATTTAACGTTATAGAAAGGTGTTCTCTGCATTTTCGGCAATCCGTAAATTCGAGGGGGATTAGCCGTTTTGCAGGTCAGATAGTTCTTTTCCTTTAAATCAATGATTTTATTAGCATACATCTTCTCCACTATTTCATTATTTTTCCCTTGTAGCTTATTTGTAGGGTCACGTTTTAAAACCCTATATGTTGAGATGTCATTTACAATTTTCTGCATCTTCATGTCATATTCTGCTTTGTTCATCGCTACAGTTACGTTCTCTTTGTCAGCATTGAGGATTAAAATTTGGTCATGGTTTTTCAGAAACGTCTTAGCAGAATGAAAGGTATTATGAATAAACTTATCTCTAATTGTATTTGTCGTCTTATTTATGTAATCGCGTATTAAAGTCGTCAAGTTGTTTCTTTCAATTTCCTGTTTTTCTTTATCTTTAATTGTCTGTATGCAGTTCTCCCCATCTGCTATAATCTTAAATAGTGGAAACTCTTTATTGGATATAGGTAAGGCGAATTTCGGTCCTAAAGATAGGAGCCACTGAATGTCATCTGGAATTTCTGTACTTGTTATATTGCAAAACCATTCTGGGACAACCCTAATGTTAAGTAATTGTTTTTGTTTCTCTCTTAATTTTTCATACTTGCTAGCTTGTGTTTTCTTAATAGTTGTAGCGAGTGTATTAGTTATTCTATCTTCACTTTCAAAAAATGCATTATAATCCCGCATACTTAATTGTTGTTTAATATGTACTTTTAGTGATTTTACCTCTTTTCCTTTTTGTCGCAGTAGCTCGTGTTTTATACTAATGAGGAGATTCAGTAGTTTGCTCTGTACCTTTTGTATATACGCAGACACAGAGTTGGCGATAGTTGTTGACATCTTGTTATTGCTGATATTGTTGTTGATTGTAGACAATATTTTTGGTAGCATTATGGATACGGTGACCATCCGTTCTGTTTTTTGCAGGACCGTACTGTTTTTCAAAGGTCGGTCCTGCGTAGTTTTTCAAACCTGAAAACCCTGAAAATGTACTGGTTTTTTCCAAGTGTCCTGCATTTGTCCAGCATTTTATTCGTTATTTTAAAATTATCGGACAATGGATGAATTTAAAAAAAAAGTGTTTCTTGGTACTTTTCGTAGCTTTTCTTCAATATCTCATGAAAAAATCTCCCAGTCAACGTAAGCGACTTACATCTCGAAGGGTATTGATGTGCCCCTTACAAAAATATATAACTTGTGGCGACTTCAATGAAAATTATTAGTGCTACAGGCGACCATTTGCATTTTGTCGTCAAAGTCGAAAAAAGTGAGATTTTCAATCAAATACGCAGTTTTGTTTGATTATTTTTTTCATTAGTTTAAAAATTCGATAAAGAAGATATATCATTACAGCAAATTTTGAGTCAAAGATAATGAAAATCGGATTAGAAATGTAGATGCAATGAAGCGCAATCTGCACAAGTTATATATTTTTGTAAAGGGCACATAAATACCTTTGTAACTCGTCGTTTACGTCGATTCATTACGTCGATTTTTGACAAATAACTGCGAAAAGTACAAAAAACAAAAAAGGGTATTGTTACCGTTTTGAACGACTAAACATTTGCCTATAAAATAATCTCTTAAAGATTTTCACTATTCGTGTAAGCTATTGTAATTATAATATGTTTTACTATACTTTTGTAGAATATTTACGTAAAAAAATATTAATATCGACGAAGAAAACGTGATTCGTTTTTAAAGTTTAAAATGTATTAAGAATTTAGAATCATAAATACTCTTTTGATATTTTTATACTACGTAAATATATGTAGGCATATTTTGAAAAATTGTCCTTCATTTTGAATCGATATTTATGGTCACCGTAATTATGGATGAAGTTTGGAGTTAAGCCGCTCCTTCTGCAGCTTTCCAGAAATTGGGTCGATACTGTTGTTCTAGCTATCTGTTGTGTGACATTTTGAAAGCGTTTGATGTGTTTTTTGGTATTAACGTGATAGTTGTGTTTGATGTTAGTGTAAATCTTGTACGTGTATTTGTCTTCTCGGTGTGCTCTCCGTTCAAACATGATTAGTTTTTTGTTTTTGGCCGTTTTTTATTTAATAACCGGCCTGGAGCTCAAAATTACCAAATTTGCCAAAAACAAAAAACTAATCAATAAATGTTTTCTTAAGTAAGATTAACTTGTAACTGTATATGTATCTGTATCTGTATCATTAAACATATAGTTCCGCTATGTAACAGAGTTTTATATATTTTCAGTTCCTGCATTATTAAATTGTATTATTCGGAGTTTAGGATTCCCAGAGGATGATTAAATTGTGTTAAAAAAAAAATTAATTTAACTTAATACGGAATACACAATGAGTACCGATACGAGTATGTATCGACACTTTAGGTCCGATATTTTTCAGGCATCGATACTTTTTTGCGATACTACTTCCAAGTAAAAGTATCGATACATGCATGTTATCATTTCATGCCAACTCAGTCCAAAATAGCACTTGTTGGAAAAAGTGATTCTGCGCTAGGTGTCCAGGCCATGTACTTTCTCGAAATAATATCTTTCAACACTGACGAAGGTGCGGAGACGCGAATGCCCCTATTGTTTGTCAGATGATAGAAAATACTTAGGTTTGTACCCATTCACCACCAGACCAAAGTGCTTTGCTTTTCCGAGAAGGCAGAACAAACGAAACCGTTGTTTTTACCGATGATGTGGATGTCGTCGGCTTAGGCCAGCAATTGTATGTATTTTTTAAAAAATATGCCTGAGCGACAAGTAGATGGTGTGTATCGATCCTATTCTCGCGAGTCTTTTGCAATATTTGGCGTATGGTGAATACCTGGTCTGTGCTGGATTTTCCAGGTTTAAAGCCACATTAATAAAGTGCAATCAGTTCATTGACGGTTAGCCTTTCTTCTGAATTGGGCAGAGCACACTTAAATTCCAGTCATCGGTTAAGCGTTCATCTCATGCAGAACATGAGATTTAACGCCTGCACCTTATGAACGCCCCGCCGTCGTACTTGAACAGCTCAGCTGATAGGCCGTTGGCCGAGCAGATTTACCGTTTTTTAGCTTTTGCTATTCGTACCTCGTAATAGTAAGATGATGGGACATCGACCACATCTTTATCGCCTGGCGGGTCGAGTTCGTCTTCTCCACTACTTTCAGTATTGATACCAGTCACTAGGGTGGAAAAGTATTCCCTGCATAATTCAAGTATGTTCTAGACAGTACCATGCTGCATTGGTTGTCGTTATATTACGTCAATTCACCCTTGTCTTGAAACCTTCCGTAATTCGCCTAACTCTCTGATACAATTTTCGGGTTTTTCCTGTCGGCTAGCATTTCAAGCTCGTCGAATTCCCATATTTCTGTTTGTCTCTCCTTATTTCGTCAGATACGTCTCGCTTCCCTCTTCTACTCTCTATATCGGTCCTACATAGCATGCATTGCGCCCAGTCACAGTGTGGCCCTTTAGGCGGCATCTTTCTTCTCCGTAGCTTCATTGCAGTCCCCATCGTACCAGCTGCTGTTGTCGACTACTCCTTGGGAAGGGGTGTTTAATAAGCGGGAAATATGGATTTCTCTGAGAGCAGGTGCGAGAGTCGAGTGGCGATTACATTGGCCGTCTGGTGTGATTGCAGCTTTTCGATGTCGAGCTTTCTTTGTACTGTTGGGTGGGCATTTTTTGCTGCATACTGGCATGTGGGTATCGATGTTTGGCCCTCGGTGTGTACACACGTCTAACACAATGGAAGCGTGCCTTCCGTCTATCACAACATGATCAACTTGGTTTTCGATCTGGAGATAGCAAAGTAGCTTGATATATCTTTTTATTGGAACCTTGTGTTGCAAGTGGCACCATGTTTGTGGCCCGGTCAAGTCGATCAGCTTTCAAGACAGATTCCATAGAAGATATCCTTGTATGCCTCATCATTCTCTCATATCGAGCGTTGGCGCAAACTAGCGAGTTGTTGAAGAATCTCGCTTTGATGCGGATTGTGGCTAAACGCTCGTCGACGCGGGTCTTATCCCCAGTATATGGCGACGAAGTCACCACAAATCGAACAACGAATTTGCGCTGCTTTACGTGGTGGCTGTAGTAGACCCCGCAAGGCCCCGAGAATTTTTTGCCTTGCGCCATCAATCGCATTTTTTTCAAACCATCTGGGCAGAGGCACCACTACGATTTAGTGATGTGAATAGCATCGAGTATCGAATAGTATGTATTTGATACTGATGAGCCATTTGAGTATTCGATAAGTATTGAAAAACGTATGCCGATACTTCGATACTCAAAGATTATCGTTAAAATATATTTTCATAAC